TGCTAGTACTTGCCCTTGAATTTCTTCGATCCTTGATTTGGACCTTCACCATTGTGCTTCATTTTCTTGTTAGTCTTGGTTCCACTTTCAACTATGTTGGCTTTAGATTTCATGGAATTAAAAACTCCACTTTTCTTCTTGGATTTACGATTATCCTCTTTGATCCTCAATCAAATAATCAAAATTTCAAGTTTCATGTCTTTGCGCTTATGATTGAGATAGTTCTTGAAATCCTTCCACAGGGGTGGTAATTTCTCCACAGTTGCAGCCACTTAGAATGACTCACTAAGAGACATACTTTCAACATGGATGTCATGAAGGATTACTTGAATTTCTTGAACCTGGAAGATTGCAGACTTGAAAGACTGACAATGATCTTCTTCATGTTGGCATCCTCGGTCCTATACTTTTTGTCTAAGGACTCCTAAAGTTCTTTCGCAATTTTGGCTGCACTATACACATTGTATAATACATTGTCTAACCCATTGAGGATGTAATTTTTACACAAGAAATCTAAATGCTTCCAAGCATCCACAGTAACCACCTTTTTCACATTTGTTTCATTCTCATCAAGTGAACGAATGTCTTCCTTAAGAAACTTTATAAGATTAAGGGTGGTGAGATAGAAAAGTATCTTAGATTGCCAAACCTTGAACTCCAAGTCATTGAATTTCTCGGGCTTCTCCCCATGAGACATACTCACGGTTGTAGAAATAATTGTTGTACGAACAACGGTAGGAGGAACATAATCATTAGAAATTGTCATTTCTGTCACACAAACAAAAGCCATAATTTAATACTAAAATCAACAGTATAACAGAATACACAATTCTGATTTGTGATAAATATAGTAATTAATGAAAGTAAAACAGTAACAAAATACAAAATTTTGTTTCAGACTTATAACAGTACTTAATCTAATTATAAAACATAAATCTGTCTTAAGATTGTTATGGAAAACATGTATATAATTAGATTATATTAAGTTGTATAACATTTAACTTATACACTAATCTAAATATAATGTGTAGAAATTAGAACCAGTACACTCACAAGAACGCAGATCAACACCAATAATAAATAAGAAAACCAGAATTTCAATTCGAGTTATGTGAAACACAATCTTCTTAAGACAAATTCAGTCCCTCTCGGTGCTCAAGGTCGATAAACAACAGTCTCCGAAGATATAACGGATTTTACCTTCTTGAAGAAGCAACACTTCAATCTTCAAGATTCCAGCGAACACACTTTGTGTTTTTACTTGAATCAACCAAAAAGAATAATGCAACAATATACAAAGAGAGAGAGAGAGAGAGAGAGAGAGAGAGATAAATTATGAAATTGAAATCCAGTATGGGATGGATTGAAATGACAAAAGGACAGTCTATTTATAGACCCTTTCTGGATGTTAAAATTGCCTTAAAAGGCATGAGTTACCACTGTTTAGATTGAAGAGACATACTCTATAATCTGAACATGCAAGAGGCACCTTCTGGAACGAACATGCTCTCTAGAATGAACCTAGACCCCATTTAGCACCAAGTTCAAAGAAAATAACAGGAAAAATTTTTAAAATCCGGTTTGGATTTAAATTACGCTGGGGATTTTAATTCCAATTGGTGTTTAGATTCAATTGGTTTGACCATGACCATATCACTTCAAATAAATTTTGTTCAAAAAGATTATATTTTTTGGCCCAAGCCCGAGCACGAGCACGAGCACGAGCACGAGCACGAGCACGGCCAACTCGGGTCGTGGTCGTGGTGTGGTGGGCAGGCGGTGCGCGTGTGTGATAACTAAGGTAGTGTAAGCGTTTGCTCCACTCACAAAAATGTGGTACCACTTGGGGCCTAACCCATTAAGTCAATTAAGAGTATATTAACTCACCAAAATATTGTTCTTCTTCCAATATGGGACAAGCCTTATTTTTCTACATCAATCTTAGTTTATTTCATTATTTCAAATAGATTACTTTGAGACATAATTTCTTATTCAAATTTTAATGATTTTGGACAAATAAATATATCACGTTAATCTCCTCACGGAAGAGAACCAGTTTAACCTTGGTCCCACTAATTTCGTGGTGTGGATCCCACTTTTATTTAAGCCTCAAATTGCTTAAATAAACTTATTTAAAACCATTATTTCTAATAGTTGTTGGGACATTTGGAGAAAAACATCTTATCTGTGAGTTGGGTCTTGAATCTTCGGAAGAAAAGCATGGATACGCTGCCTCGAAAATCTACACAAATGCTGCGCTTGGGTTTTGACTCTTCGAGCTTAACTAGCTCCACACTCGCCTATAAATAGGCGGTGTAGGAGGGATTCATGGGGATACCACACTTAGAGAGATAGATACACATATACATACAGAGTGATACATCATACATGCATTCGAGAGAGTGAGCAAAAACAGAAACATTTCAGTTTTTAGCATTTGTTCGGTTGTCTTAGCTCTTGTATTAAATGTGTTATTCTCGGTAGAGATAAATATTTTCAATATCAGAATTTGTCTTCCTTTCTTTCAGATTTATCATATCTATCACAATTTTTTTTCTGTTTAATGAGTATTATGTTCGTCTAAGTTAGCTTCGGCATAATCCAAGAGTGAATTCACACCCGTGATAAGGTGATATTGATTCTAAAAAGAGTTATTATCATTGGGTGTTTTTGTTGATTGGAATAATTTTTTTTCGAAAACTTGTTTGATTTCAAAACATCTTTGATTACTTGTCGACAGATTTTTCTAGTACGTGTAATGCTTGGAGTCCCTACAATCAACATGATATCTATTTTCCAACAATTATTTCCTACCATAAAAAACACATATTTTCTAAAATCAGATTTTCGTTGAATATTTTATGTCTAAATAAGTTTGATTACAAGCTTAGATGAATCATAATTAAGATTCAATGATCGTGATTAATGTGAGATGAATTTTGAGTATTAGTCAATTATTTTTCCATTCAACAACATTCGAAAATCTAAAAACCTTCACTTTTGTTTGCATTACATCATCATTTTGAATTTCTCCTTGTTCCCCGTGGAGACGACCTCGGTAATTCGGAGTACTACACGATAAATTTTTCTACGTTTGTGAAGCACTTTGAGATTCAATAGAAATAGATAAGTATTTTTGCAATGAATATACATCGATAATTGCAGAAGAGAAGCCCTTCTTCTTAATGATTTGATTTGGTTTCCACTCTCAGTTAATGAATATGTATCGATAATTGCATTGTTGCCAAAGATGTCGGTTAGCATCCAAATGGGTTTCATCTTTTCCCCCTTTACCGATTGGCATTCTTGTCATTTTTTAAAAATTACAATTTAACTCAAATAAAATTTAGTGTTGTATTTTTCCTCAATTAAGTTTAAAAAATTGTATCGGCTTCCGTTTTACCCAAAAAAAAAATTATAAGCCCAAATCCTAATGAGAGATATGTTATCTAACAAAATTGAGTCATTATCATTGGACTTTATTTTTTTCAAAGAGAAATACTACTGAAACCTAAAAATCTAATATAATAGTTTCATCAAATAATGTGACAATTGACATAACTTAATAATATTTTAATAATTATCATTGTTAGATTTTTTTACTGGGATAATAATACATGTTACTTCATTAGAGACAAGTATTGTATCATATTTGGAGCCCTCAAATAATAAGTGTTTTATTTGATGTATTAGATTAAATATTAAAGTTAGATTATTTTTTAAGTTAATGTTTTGCTTGCAATAAATTACTTACATTACCTTTAACAATTACTTCTACAAAAAAATCCAAAGATTGAAATTGACAAAATCTTGCCTCAAATTGATTGTGTTATAAGAAAGATTTAAGCAAAAAATTTACTTAAAAAATATAAAAGCCCTCACCCAGACTTGTTGCTTTAGGCCTCCAATCATCTTGAGTCGGCCCTGGCTGTGCCCAATCAATTAGCTCTACTCATCATAAGGGAACTCTAACATCAAGATAATAAGGGGAGATAAAAATATAATTATGATCCTATGGGGATTAAGACGAGACTCTATTGAATAAACCAACCCTATCCTCCTAACAAAGGGATGGACCTTAAGCTTCCAACAAAAAAGGGTTCACTTTGAACTCACTCTAATCTATCTATACTACTAATAGAAGTACCTTAATAAAAAAAATTTGTGATTCACTAGTTTACCCTCATAAATAATTAAAAAGATCACTCTATCCTTCCATACTTAATATCTAAATTACCATCATATTCTTATGCATTTAAATCTCCAAATTATATCTAAGATCATTTTTAAATATATATTTTCTATGTATAAATGCCAATTTTTATAAAAAATTTTGATTGATTATATTACTCTTAAAAAATATATACATCATTATAAGTTTTAATAAAATATTAAAAAAAAAAATTCAAAGATTTCATCAATATATTATTACTCATCTCATTTATAAAAATAATATTATAACTATATATTTATATTTTATTTTTCAACAAAATATTTAGTCATGTATGTATATTCTACTTTTCATCAAAATATTTAACCCTTTCATTTTTAAGATAAAAATAATATATTATAGATTTACATAATTTTTAGTCATAGTAAATTTTTTAGTATGTGTTAAGATTTTAGGATTAATTGCGACTATGGTCCTGAAGTATTTCTTTTGTCTCATTTTAGTCCTCAACCTTCTAATTGCATCAAGTTGATTCCGCGTGTATTACATATGCACTTACCTAATCCTGCCTTTGACGCCGTCCACAAATCTAATGGTTTATAGTCATGTCTTCCGCATGACCTAGGTGAGGGGCTTATATGACTTTTATCCTCCATCCCTTTCCTTAAGGAAACATTCCCACCAACTGGCTATGAGCCATTGTCTGTTACAGAGCATAGGAAACATTCCCCTAAATTCCTGTGTTTCCTTCCCTCTACTTGCAAGGTTTGACCTTTGGGAATTTCTTGGCTGTGACTCGTTCATGAACTTTGAAACTAAGGACTCGTAGATGACACTAGCCACTCATTCCTTCTTTGCCAAACTCCTCCAATACACCCACCAGAAGAACCTCCCAAACGGCAAGTCACTCCACACCCAAATCATCAAGACCGGCTCTTCGTCTTGCATATACATCTCCAATAGCCTCGTCAACTTCTACGCCAAGTCCCACCACTTAACCGAAGCCTACCTTGTATTCGAAGAAATCGAAGTTAAAGACATAGTCTCATGGAACGGCCTCATCAATGGCTACTCTCAACTGGGGACTCCCAAATCTTCATCCTCAGTCACGAAACTGTTCAAACTTATGAGGAAAGAGAATACTTTCCCCGATGCCCACACTTTCGCCAAAAATTTTTCTGCGGCGTCGATTTTGTTGGACCCGTTTTGTGGCCAACAAGTTCATACGCTTGCCATCAAAACAGCTTGTTGTTCTGATGTATTTGTGAATAGTTCTTTGTTAAACACGTATTGCAAATGTGGCCTTGTTTGTGATGCGCGTAAATTGTTTGATAGAATGCCGGAGAGAAATTTAGTTTTTTGGGCTACGATGATTTTTGGGTATGCTATGCATTGGTTTGCTAGTTATGCTTTGGAGGTTTTTAGGATGATGACGTGAGAGGAAAAGGAAGATGTGAATGAGTTTGTGGTAACTGGTGTTCTTAGTGCTTTTACCTTGCCAGAATTTATTGATATTGGTAAGCAATTTCATTATCTTGCTGTGAAAAATGGGTTGTTATCAGTTGTATCAATTGGAAATGCTGTTGTTACCTTGTATGCAAAGTGTGGAAGCTTAGATAACGCACTGCAAATGTTTAAGCTTTCGAGTGAGAAGAACTCTATTATGTGGTCTGTGATGATCACTGATTATGCACAAAGTGGCAATGGTGAGAAGGCATTGAAAATGTTCTCGGATATACATTTTTCTGGGCTGAGGCCTAGTGAATTCACTCTTGTTGGGGTGCTCAATGCTTGTAGTGATGTTGTTGCTACTGTAGAGGGAAAGCAATTGCATGGCTAAGTTGGGTTTTGAATCTCAGATATATATTATTACGGCCTTAGTTGATATGTATGCTAAATGTGGCAATGGTGTGATATAACTTATAACCCAGTTGGCGGGAATGTTTCCCTCTAAGAAAGGATGTAGGATAAATGTCATATAAGCCCCTCAGCCTCACCTGGGTCATGCAGATGGCACATAACTATGAACTGTTAGCTTTGTGGACGGCGTTAACGGCGGGGACTAAATAAGTGCATATGTAATACATGAGGGACCAACTTAATGCAATTAAAAGGTTGAGGATCAAAATGAGACAAAAAGAATACTTTGGGCACCACAACCACAATTAACCCAAGATTTTATGTGAAAACTTGATTGTTTTAAAAAAAATTTAATATGTTTTATAATAAATATATTATAGTATTGTGTATTAAATTTTATCTCAATTAACCTAGATAATTCTAAATACAGTAAGGTTTCAATATGGTTGATATATTGATAATTATTTTTATTTTATTGAATAATTTATAAGTGCAATCTTAATCAAATTAATTTTTTAATTATCTATTCTCTATTTATACTCGACAGTGGAACCAAAAAAAAATTTCTCTATTTATAAATGTCAATTTTTATGAAATTTTTTGATTGATTATATTACTTTTAAAAAATATTTGCATTATTATAAGTTTTAACAAAATATTTAAAAAAAATTTAATATAATGACTATATATGTATATTTTATTTTTCATCAAAACCATTTTTATTTTAAGATAAAAAATAATGTATATATAGTATTACATGATTTTTTAGTTATAGTAAATTTTTTAAATTGTGTTAAGATTTTATGTGAAAACTTGAATTTTTTAAAAAAATTTAATATGCTTTATAATATATATTATAACATTGTATATTAAATTTTATTTCAATTGACTTAACTAATCCTAAATACAGTAATGTTCCAATACGATTGATATATTGATAATTATTTTTATTTTGTTTAATGATTTATAAGTGGAATCTAAATCAAATTAATTTTAAAAAATTTAATTTTCAAACATCACTAAAAATACTTTCAATTACAAAATTATAGAAAAAAATAGAACTTTAATTATTATTTTATTTTATTTTTATCATTTTTCTTAAAGTTAGAATAACAAATCTTGAAAATATATAAAATTTTCAAAAATTATATAATGGAGCATGGATTAATTCTTATTAAGTGAAAGTGATGAGCAGCTGAGTTTAAATAGTTTAGTGATACATTAAGAAACCTGAAATCTGGTGCTGCCAGTCTCTTGGAGAATGAAGGAAAATAAGTGGAAAACGGCGGCAAGGAAATGAAAATGCTTAAAGATTCGGTTCTGAATCTTTCCAAGCTGCAATAGAGTCTGGGACAACAATGTACGAACTGGTGGCTTCTCTAAACCAGAAATGTGCCAAATTGTAGTTTCTCATCAACCCCCTATAAACCAATTCAATCAAGTATATACGGAGGGGCGAATTTGCAGTGGGGTAGTGGGGGCAACTGAGCCCCACTATAATTTTGAATAATTTTGGGACCTAGACAGAATTTTTAAAAATTTGAGATGTGTTTAAAACTTGCCCTCATTGAAAGTTTGAAAAACATTTGGGGTAACTTTATAATTTAGAAACTACATTAATTTTTTAATAAACCAAAAGATTTCCCCAGAAATTTGCTCTGGACGACTGACGATTGTCTCTCTTCCTTCCTTCTCATGCTTCTCTATCGTCTTCAATCTCCATCCGAACAAATCTTCATCAGAAATCACACATGCTATAGAATCTATTAATCACTATGTGGTTTTTGTTGTTATTTCTGAAAATTGTATGTCATTGTAATATTAGTACATGAGTTTAAAATAATTTAAAAATCCTTATAGAAGAGTTCAAAACAAGTTAAAACTCAAATGGAGAATACAAAACAAAATTTAGATGAAAGTATATAGATGGGTGTCATTGACTTTGTTAAAATAATTAGGGATAAAATAATAAATTAAAATTTTTTCACGACATTTATAGATAGAAAAACAAAAAAGAGAAAATAAGATCTAGACTTGAAAGATAATATTTTCAATCAGAAACAAAAGGTAGTAGCACATTTAATAGATTTAGCTCTAAATCTATGCTATTTTTTTTTAAGTAACCTCGCTTTAGACAAAAGTAGGCTCTCTCTCTCTCTCTATATATATATTTATATATAGTTTTTGGGTTGATGGAGTAAGAGCTAGGCTTGCCGGGCAGTGGCGTAGAGTTGTGTGCAGGATTAGGTCCACTAGGTGCCTCTCTCAAGGATCTTCCTACGCTCATAGCTGCCTTCAAAACGGAAAAATCATGCCCATATTCATGTAAAACATACGAAGAGAGTATAGGGAGGTTTGATAAGCAGTACTACACATGTCAGACTACTAAGGGACATGAACACAATACCAAGCTCTACACTCCTATATCCATTCCAGATGCATTGTGGGGGGATCTGTCAATGGACTTTATGCTGGGTCTTCCATGGACTCAACCTGGTATGAATTCTATATATGTTGTGGTTGACAGGTTTCCCAAAATGACACATTTTATTTCATGCAGAAAAACCTTAAATGCTTCTTATGTTGCCCACTTATTCTTTGGGGAGGTTGTTTGTTTGCATGGTATTACCAAGACCATTACTTTTGATCGTGGCAATAAGTTCCTTAGCCATTTCTTGTCAACTTTGTGGAAGGGATTGGATAATTCGTTGCATTACAGCAACTCAAGTCATCCACATATTGATGGGCATACATAAATAGTGATCAGACCCTGGGGAATATCTCGCGAAGCCTTTGCAAGAAATATCCAAGGCAGTGGGATAATACTTTATCCCAAACAGAGTTTGCCTATAACAATGTACCAAACAGATCCACCCGCAAGTCTCCATTCCAGATTATCTATATTTAAGCACCTTTACAAATTCTCGATATAGTTTCAGTACCAAAGCTCCTGAGGATGAACACATATGCTAGGGAAACCGACAGATGTGCATGTGGAGGTGAGGCAACATTTGGAGGCGTCGGTGGCCAAATATAAGGAGGCAGTAGACAAATATCGCCAACATAAGATTTTTAGGGTTGGAGACAAGGTTATGATTCATCTACACAATGAGAGATTACCAGTTGGGTCTTGCAACAAGCTCAATCAGAAGATGATTGGTCCCGCAGATATAGGCATCTCTAGTACTTTTAATTTGCAAGACTTGTTTGAGTTTCATTCTAATTCCATCGAGCTTTCACAAATTATCTCGAGGAAGAGTTCTTTTCAAGAGGTAGGGACTGAAGTAGAATAGGTGACAATTTACTATTTGGAGCAGAAAGATCACGAGTTCAAAGGCGAAAAGGTGATAGTAGAGATAAAATGGTCAAACTTAAAAATTAATTGAGGCTAGTTGTGTTTGATCTGGATTGGACCAATGATCAAGACTCACTCCTTCAATTTTGGCCCAAATTCTATCATTTAGGCTCTTAAAACCTCACTTTTGTCTTTTTAAAAAAGAATTCAAGAATCAATAATAAATTATAAGAGGTTCCAAATTCAATGTCGTAACTATTGTTAGCCTCTAGATGACACGTGTTTTTATGTTAACTAGTTAACTTGCAATTTTCCATTGTTTGGTAATTTTTGTATACTTATGGATTTTACTTATATTATGGAGACGATTAGTGTTTTTTGTCCTTCTTATTTATACTTTCTTATGTAAAACAAATTATTCATTGAATAATATACAATTTAAGAGATATTGTCTTTTTCTTTTCCATGTTGAATCAAAGTACCTTTATGTGGCGTTTTCTTCGTGTCCATTCGTTACTGTTGCATCAGAATTACAATGCTGATTAGTTTCAATAAACATGACAGTTTCTTATCAACAAAATATTATCGTTATTGCCAGGAAATTTACCAAGAGGATTAGTGTTCCAAGTACTTCAATCTGGCAGGAATCATTAAGGGTATTCTTAACTCCTACTCAAATTTGAATTCATATTTGAATTTATGTAAAAACATGTCAAAAATTCTCCGAAGTCTTTTATTCAAACTTATATCAATTGAGGAAAAATTCAAATCTTGGCTCAAATTAAGTAAGACCCAAGTGCTTTACCCAAAAACCAACGGCTATATTTCTACCAATAGGCCCCGACTTTAACTTCTCTATTCACCAGATTCACTGTCAAACCAAGTCTCATTCGAACAAATGAGACCTCAAACAGTGAAAACACAAACAAGCAATTATATGTACATAGGTATATATATGTCCTGTGCATGGGCTCAGAATCAGAATTTCATTAAAGGGGGTAAATAAAAATAGTAGCACTGCCAAAAATTTTATTTAATGAGGCCAATCGACTGTTAGCGTAAATGTCAAACTTTTATTTGTATTGAACTATCAAAATCTATTGTATACCCCATGTAAAAATTAATTTGGGTTATAAAATCTCAAAACTAAATCGTAAAAATAAATGTAATATTTTCAAGTCTACTTGTTCCTTCACTAATAATATGATTTAGCGATTAAAAATAAATTATAATTAATCTTTGATTCAGTGTATTGTTCATGGTACAAGTCATATTTGTAGTTAAATATTGCAACAACTTTCTTTTTGGTCATAAAAATTATTCTAGCAAATGTCTTTGTCTGTAAGTGAAGCACTGTCCACTTGATTAATATTTCCCATTTGGTTATTAAAGGTAAAATATTAAAACAAAAGGTGATATATGAAAATTTTAAAAATTAGGGGGAGTATAAAGTATTTTTGAACATTTGAGGGGGGCTATGGCCTATGGCCCTTAGGCCTCCATTTGGGTCCATCTCTGCCTGTCTACATGGTGGATGTCTATAAATATCTAGTCTTCGGGGGTTATTATGGCAGAGACAAGTTACTCGAGGTCGAGGGCATGGGCGGAGCCACTTGGGGACCTGGTGGCAGGGTCCACCTTTTCACCAATTCTCTCATTATTTCTTCAAAACTTTCTAATCTATCTACACCAATACAAAATTCATGTTTTTAAGAGAGAATTTCACAAGTCTTCTTTCTCTTTCTTTAATATTTTCAAAAAACAGTTAAAAGCCATATGCATCGCACATGTACTTACATAAATTATTATTAGTTCCATGCATTACAGGATTTTGATGTGGCTGAGGCTCCCCAGTTTAAAGTCATTGCGTTGCAACAAAAAAGTGTTACTGAAGCTAAGTACGTATTTAGAATTTCACTGATAAGAAACTGTACTTGATCATGTGCCTATACTTCTTGACTTCTTTCTAAATTAAAATTAATGGAAGGGATGCAGCTCATCTGACAATGAAGATCCTTAACAATGTGTTTTAAAATTGGTTGCTTCCAAATTAGTTAGGAATTAACTTCCCTAACCCCAGATTTGAAATTGTATTACAAATAGTATTTAAAAAAAAAAAAAAGGTCCAATAACAATCACACAGAACAACACACAATTTTACATGGGAAGAAAGAATAAAATAAAAAGAGGAATAATGAGGATGCTTACCGAGTTAGGGCTACAATAAAATGTGGAGCAGTTGTAAAATTTATTTTATAAACAGGCCAAATTTGGCCCAAATTTTAGAGACAAATGTCTAGTACTAGGAGTGTTCATGGGCCAATAGATGGCTCACCCGAATCCGAATCCGAATCCGAATCCGAATCCGATCCCTTTAAAAGAGGACTTGAGTTTACTCCCAAATCTATTATTTAATCTGAAAACTGCCTAATAGCCCATTCAAAAATCCCGTCAAAATTCGACCCAAGAGTCCACCTATCAAGCCCAGTCAGCCCACCTACCTTTGAAAAAGAGTTTTAATTTTAAACTATTAAATATGAAACTTTTAAATAAGTTTTTTAATTTTAGAATTTGAAATTTTAAAAATTTAGATATTATAAATAATGTAAATTTTTTTTTCATGTTTTAAGCATACAAATTTTAAAAAGTAGAGTAATGAAATAATACATAAGTGAGTAGATGTCAACCTAGGTATAATGTATTCATTATATTATATATAGTTCATTCCCTAATCAAAAATAAAATTGTTCATTATTTTATTTTTATCTATTTTAACTTTATTTTTAATTCAAAAATATAATTTACAAAAAAATAAAGTTACAAAAACATTCATTATTTTTAAATAAAATTGTTTATAAAAAAACCCGTGAGCATGCTAACCGAGCATATCCGCCCAATAGGCTCGGGAGTTAGGTTGCGAATAGCCTATCTCTACCTGAATCTCAACCTGACACGATTGATAACTCACTTGAATAAGAACTTGGATCTACAATATCCAATCCCGACTTGAAAAAAAAAATCACGGGCTAGTTTGGCCCAGTTCATGAATACGCCTATCTAGTACTATCAAAGTTCATATGACCTTCGATTAAATTGGATGTCTAGCCAAAATTCCTCCAATCTACTATGAATTCAAGTATAATATACATATAAGTGAATCACTCACTAATACAAAATAAATAATCAACCAAAGAGAAAAATGAAAAGTAAAATATTAGAATAAATATTTCCTAATTAATTTCAGCTGAATAAAATTTTCTCTATTTTCCGCAAAATGAATCAATTAAAGCAACACAAAATTATACAAAGAGCATAATTGATTAGATAAACTTTGCAAATTGATTCTATCAAATAATAAGTTCTTAACAAAACTATTTATTGGTATATATGATGAAACAATTATCATTCCTCTCAACCCCAAACCCAACACACGAATCCCATTTCTATTCAATAAAAACTATACTAAGCTATGGGTCGGTTCAATGAGTATAGGCTTGAACTAAAGAAAACCCATTCTCAACAACTTGGATCGACTCTCTTGCATTGAATCATTGTCATTGGCTGCTTTTCGCTTTCGACAATCCAGAGTTCTTCCTGAAACTGCTGAAGAAAGCTGGAAGTCTGTGAATGGAGCTGAAGTTGATGGGAATGGTGGCTTGAAGAGATGGGTTATGTCCCTAAGAGGTCTCCTGAACCTTTTCTTCACATTGTTTGAGGAAGATTGGAGATTAGATGGAACTGGGTCAATTTGTTTTGCAGTGAATGGTAGGATGTTCATGTTCTCCTTGTTATCATGCTTACACAGAGAGACAGCCTCCATTTCTTCTGATGCTGCTTTGTGTGTGTGTGTGTGTGAGAGAGAGAGAGAGAGAGAGAGGTACGCAGTGAACTGAAACATTTATTTATAGGTAGGGGCTGATGAATTTGGTTTTGGAGGGAGTTTTTGGAGTTTATATCTCTCCTACCCCTTTTCAGCCTTAGTTATTTCAGATGGCCATTCTGAGTTCAAAGTTTTAACTCAAACGTGGAGGGAGGGCTTAAATTTTGGATTTGGATCCGCAAAATTTTGAATTTTTCTCCTACAGTCAATTGTAACCATTAATTGTTAAATCAATTGGGCACCACTCAAGTATTTAGGTGAACGAATTTGGCAATAAATAATAATTAATTAGGCTAAAATCCCTCATTTGGTGTAAATTAGGTTTAGTCTTGTTTGATTTTTAGTATATAAAAAAGTCTTTTTTTTTGGATGTGGTCCCCGTGTTGGTGGGGTTGAGTAGTTATTGTGTATTTATTTCCCATTTTGTCATTATCACACGATTTCAGCCTAAATAATCAAGAATACATTTATAATACATATTTCCTACGAATGCATGGATATATCTATATATATATATATATATATATATATATATATATATAGTGAACTGTCTCTAATCGTGAATACAAAAGTGTACAACATCTCGTGGTAGCATACTCTCAGTGTTGCAGAATATAGCAGCATAGCAATGTAAAACATGCAGCAGAACATTCACAACAGCTCAACTCACAACTCATCTATTGTATCAGCTGCACCAAATAGCAAAGGAGAAAGAATTAGTTAGTTGGCTTAGCTATCAGTTGGTAAAGAGTTTGGTAGAAGAATCTATTACAATATTTATTCTTTCTTGTAATTCAGTTAGTGATGAAGAACACAGTTAGCTGATAGACTTAGTGTATAAAAATAGATGATGTAATTGCTTTGGATAATCAATAAGAATTTTCTTTTTTTTTTTCTCGAAAAGAAGTTGTCTTCTTCATTTCTTAACATGGTATCAAAGCTCCATTAAAGAGCTTCCTCTGTTTTTTTTCAATGGCTTCTCAAACTTTTGTAATAGATTCTCAATCCAGCACTTCAAATTCAAGCTCGATTGAGGATTTTACTCGTCCATTGTATCTTCATCATGGAGATAGTTTTGGTACTTTGTTAGTTTCTCAATCTTTGAGTGGAGAGAATTATAACCCTTGGAGCAAATTGATGTACATGGCTTTGAGTGCTATGAATAAAATTGGATTCACTGATGGCACTACCTCCAAGCCATCTAATCTAAAGGATCCTCTTCATAGCTCTTGAATTCACTGCAATAAGATGGTGATTTCATGGATTCTCAACAAATTATCAAAAGAAATTGCTCGAAGTGTTCTTTATGTTGATTATGCAAAAGAGATCTGGGAAGAACTCAAGGAGCGGTTCTCACAGACTAATGGTCCAAGGATCTATCATTTGCAGAAGTCAATTGCTTCTCTCAAGCAAGAACAACTATTTGTAAGTTCTTATTACACTCAATTGAAGGGATTCTAAGATGAGTTGATGAAATACAGACCCCTTCTAGTCTGTTCTTGTGGTGCTTTGAAAACTCTAGTGTGTTTTCAACAACAAGACTATCTCATTAAGTCTTGAATGAGATTAAATGATTCATACACCAATATTTGAAGCCAGATCTTACTACAAGTTCCTTTGCCATTAATAAACAAAGCATTCTCTTTAGTCCTTCAAAAAGAGAGGCAATGATAAATTGTATTCTCTGCTCTTCCTAATCCAGATTCCACTGCATTTTGAGCAAATCTACTCCATCAAATCCACAGAATTTTGGCAAATTCAATTCTAATAAATCTCAGTCACGACCTATTTGTACTCACTGTGGGATGCAAGATCACACTGTTGATAAATGTTATAAATTGCATGGCTATCCTCTTGGGTTTTCGTATTGCAAAAGGCAAGAATAGCTCCAATATTGCAAATCAAGTGATAGGCACTGGACAAATTGAAGACACTACACCTACAGCTGACAAAGTTTCTTCTCCATTACCAATAACACAAGAACAAGTACATTAGTTGTTACTTCTTCTGGAGCCACAGCCGCTAGCCTCAGTAAATCAAGTAGTAGATACTCACAGTAAGTCCATATTCAATATGTCAGGTGAGAATTCTTCTCCTTCTTTAGTTCTCAATACTATCAATCCCTATTCTAAACATGATTTATTTCCATCTTTACCTCCATGGATAATTGATACTGGAGCTATTGATCACATAGTATGCTTAGTATCTCATTTTTCCACTATTTCTTCAGTTGTGAACACTTCAGTACGATTGCCTGATGGTAGCTTGGTTGTTGTTAGCCATATAGGCATAGTCAAAATTTTTGACTTACTCTTGTTAACCAATGTTCTTTGTGTCCCCTCTTTCCAATACAATCTCCTTTCTGCCAGCCAACTAACTAAACAGATTTCTTGTTGTTCCCTTTTTTGTACATGGTGCTTGCTTCATACAGGATCTATTAATATGGAAGACAATTGGGATGGGTTAAGAAAGGAAAGGACTATATCTTCTGCAACCTTCGAGCACTTAGGTTTCCATAACTCAAGTTGGTTCTAGTATCTCCTCCTTTCAATACAACACAGAAGTTGCTTCACATCTATGGCATTTTTTATTAGGCCATTTGTCTCCATAGAGATTGAATTTGGTTTCTAAGATTTCTCTTTCCGATTATATTCACTGCAACATTTGTCATTATGCTAAACAGAATTGTTTAATTTTTCCTGTAAGTAGTACTAAGATATTTGCCCTTTTTTGAAATCATTAATTGTGACATTTGGGAACCATATCCCATTCCTTCTTTGAATGGTTCTCATTATTTTTTAACAATTGTTAATGATTTTTCTAGATGCACTTGGTTGTACTTAATGAAATCCAAGTCTGAAACACAATCTTTACTTGTTTCATTTTATGCTTTGGTAGAAACTCAGTTTCATACCACGATCAAAATCATTAGGTCTGATAATGGCAAAGAATTTATCATGACTGATTTCTATTATTCTAAAGGGATTATCCATCAGTTGAGTTGTGTTGACACTTCACAACAAAATGGTGTGGTGGAGAGGATACATCAACATTTCCTTAAAGTCGCTAGAGCACTTAAATTTCAAGCACATATTTCCTTATCTTTTTGGGGAGAATGTGTTGTCACTGCTACATATCTTATAAACAGAATTCCCACACCTTATCTTGCTGGAAAATCACCTTTTGAAATTCTATTTTCTCACAAACCATCTTATTCTCATTTAAAAGTGTTTGAGTGTTTGTGTTATGCTCCTACCCATAAGCAGCATAGACCAAAGTTTGATCCTAGAGCTAAAAAGTGTGTTTTTATTGGTTATGCTTCCTCTGTCAAAGCATATAAACTGTTTGATCTTCACACGCAATCTACTTTTTTGTCCAGAGATGTGATTTTCTATGAAAATATTTTTCCTTTTTCTTTTCACAACATAGAGTCTTCTAATACAGATACTATAGTTTTACCCTCATCTCTCTCTGATCTTGATTCTACATCAACTCCTAGTTCTGACCATAGTCCTGCTTTAAATCTCAATCCAACTCCTCCTTCTTGTTCTTCATATCCTGTTCCTAATCATCCCAAACAGTCTACTAGAACAAGAAAGGTTCCTAGCTATTTGCAAGATTATTATTGTCACTTACTTTCTTCTCACACATCCCATTCAGTCTCTACAGTTATTGGTTTTCAGACATCAAGTACTCCTTACAGTGTTTCTCAATTTTTATCTAATTAGAAATTACCACCTGCACATTTTATTTTCAGTTTATCCATTTCTAGTCATCAAGAACCATCCTTCTTTCATGAAGCTGTTAAATCCCCAGAATGGTGTGAAGCCATGAATGTTGAGATACAGGTTCTTGAAGCCAACAATACATGGACTGTCACCTCTTTATCCCTAAGAAAACAACCAATAGGTTGTAAATGGGTGTATAAAATCAAATACAAGGAAAATGAGACTATTTAGAGGTATAAGGCTAGGCTTGTTGACAAAGGTTACACACATCAAGAAGGCCTAGATTATTTGGAAACTTTTTCTACTGTGGCCAAGTTCACAACTATGCGGTGTCTCATTCCAATTGTTGCTATCAAATGCTGACATTTATTTCAAATGGATGCTCATAATGCCTTTCTTCATGGTGATTTGAATGAATAGGTTTACATGAAAATACCTCCTAGATATGCCAAACAAGGGGAAAATCAAGTATATCATTTAAATAAGTCTCTTTATGGACTTAAGCAAGCTTCTAGGCAATGGTTTTCCAAGCTTTCTACTACCATTATTGTTTATGGTTTCTCCCAATCCAAATCAGATTATCCACTAATTCCAGTTTTATTGCATTACTGGTTTATGTGGATGATATTATCATAGCCACAGATGATCTTGTTGCAGTTGATATGCTTAAGGCATTTTTGTATAGTTAATTTCAAATTAAAGATTTTGAAAGCTTGAATTATTTTTTGGGTCTTGAAATAGCCAAATCATCTAAAGGCATTTCCATTTGTCAACGAAAGTTTGCCCTTGAAATATTACATGACTCTAGACTTCTTGGTTCTAAACCAGATAAGTATCCTATGGAACAACATCTCAAATTGTCCAAAGAAATTGGTACTATTTTACAAGATCCATTAGTATATCAAAGATTGGTAGGACGATTGTTGTATCTCACCCTTACTCGACCAGATGTTTCCTATGGTGTCCAAAATCTTAGTCTCACTTGGATGCAGCCTATTGTGTTCTTCGATATCTCAAAGCTTCTCCAGCTCAAGGACTTTTCTTCTCAGTTGCTTTTTCTCTGCATCTCAAAGGGTTTTGTGATGCAAACTAGGCCGGTTGTCTTGATTTTGGATGATCTATTACTGGCTTTTGTATCTTCCTTGGAGATTCTCTTATCTCTTAGAATTCAAAGAAACAAGTGATTGTTTCTTGTTCCTCTGCTGAAGCAAA